CTGAAAAAGCGTAGGTACCGGTGAATAATATTCTTCGAATGCAAATATTGTACAGCAGAGACTATCTGTCGGAACTTTACTCGCGCTTCCTTCTCTTTCATTCTACCATGTGCGACCAAATAGTCAAAAACCTGAAATCAAAGTTACGCATATTGGTCTCTAGCGTTCAGACTTCGCGATGACGCGCGTCAACCGTTACAATTATAACGCGGCCCAACGCATTCGATGACAAGTAGCCGCAGATGGGAACTAATCGGCGCAGGTCGCTTGTGAATTGAGAGTATGGGGTACAGAGTAGAGCACATTGCCACGTACTCTGGTATCGATTAGTGGCCGCCATGGTTCTGGGAAATACAGGAGAATGGGAGGGTAAGAGGGTAACAGGAAGGCAGCGCCTGCCCTCGTGTTATCCTACTGCTCTTTCAAAAACACGCGTAGACGCGACGCGCGTCATCGCGAAGTGTAAACGCTGTCCAAAGTTTCGTAAGTATTCACAGGCTGAATCATCATTGAACGCACAATATATGGATTTATCTTCCATATATAATAGATGCATTAGTAAAATGAACTTACTTCGCCACCGGATGCATATTCTAGAACAAGATATAGCGTCTGTTCATTTTCCATAACTTGATATAACTTAACGATATTGGGGTGATCGAGCTGCTTCATGATTTTCACCTCACGGAATAACTAAACATATTTCATCATTGAATTACACAAATAGTGGCTCACTAGCTAAGGCGGCCAATTTAGCCAAACTGTAAATGCTACTTTCATTACAGCAGGGGCTATTGAGCGAGACTTTCACGGCGCAGTTGACCCTGAGAGGAGGAGGAGAGGGAGGAATTTCGCACTTTCGCTACTTCCCATCATCGTATTTTTGCTTTAACAGAGTTGGCAGGTACACAAAATTTGGGTGGTATCACTCCGTGGCTTCACAAAATTCCACACGAGATTCCATATGATGGTTCGACTTGTCGGTGGAAAGTAACAAAAATTCACTGTAGGCCCCCACGTCGCAGAACTGCGCCGACTTTCAACAATGCCCCTTCACAGAACCAAGCCACCATCAAGCAAAAAAAATTCTCAGCTGTTACGCTATACGAAAGTTATCCGTACACCTTGCGAGATGTCACACATCGCTGCTTACACTATCTGTAATAAAGAAAAACAAAAGCAGCAGCTCTCCGCGAAAGCGTATTTTTTTCCCAGTGATTTCAAAGACAATTCCTGCGACCAAGTGTTAGGTAACAGGAGCTCAGTCATGAACCAGTAGCCTGTAAGTAACTTTTCGGTAGAGAGAGAGAGAAGCGAAAAAAAAACACTGGAAACACTCAACCCCCCTCAGCAGTGAGCGCCTTGGAATATGTCGGAGGTTGGCCCAATCAGCAGGTTGCAGTAATCACGCGTCTCTAGCTTCTTTTCTCGCCGTTTCCAGCAAAGAAAGTGCTATATTCTCTGTGAATGCGGACAGTGATGACAAATGCACGTAGCCATTTCGCAGACCACTTGATCGCTGGAACTATCTTTGAATTACCCCTGATCCCGTGAGAAGAATCTATTTCTTAGATCCTAGGACCCGCTGAATCGTTTAGTAAAAAAAGTTATCAGTGCAACCTCAGCTGCCCGTCACAATAAGATAACGCAGTTTGGCTTGGAGGAATTTTTGCACTTTCGCTGGTTTAAGAAAGCTAGCTGCCCTAACTCCATGAAGACCTGTAATTTTTTTGCTAAGCTGAGAAAAGGTACAAATGATCTCTCTGGGTTACAACAAATTGCAGGACTTTACAAGGTGTCCTGCACAAACTTCGATGAGTAGCATTTGGCCCCCACCAAGAAAAGGTTTAAATTACCGATTTCTCTCTTCAATCGTTTGTTTGAGTAAATACTGTTCCCTCTCCTTCCCCTTCCCTACCCAACTGCCAAACTGTAAGATACCAGAGATTATCGAAATTTCAAAAGCAAACCTTTTGTAAACTGCTAGGGTTTAACGCGGTTTTATCGATGATTTTAATAGCAACTTCTTGACCCGTAATTGTGTGCTTGGCTAATTTGACCTGAAATATCAACTTACATGTATAAAATGAGAGACAGAAAAAACAACCATTGGTTACCTTGGCGAAGTTCCCTTTACCGATGGTTTTGAGCAACTTATACTTTCCAACATGGGGATCGTCAGGCGGTCGCCGTCCTCCAGATCGGCTGGACGATCCCATTCCTGCCGATGGCCGCAAATGAGAGGCATGTTGAGACGACCTAGATGGATATCGTTTGCAAAAAAAATGTTAGGTCACCAGACCACACAGGTCAATCACCTGCGTAGTCAAATGTTTAGTTCTTATTCTATAGGCCTTTAGCTTACTTGGAAAAATAAGGGGTTTGGATAGGACCTTAGGTTCTTTCACTTATATGAAGTTTAATGGCGTCCATTCCTCATAAATAGCGATTCTTCTTATATGTTACGAGCAATGTATGGACAAATGAAGAAGTAATAGATTCTCAAGTCGATAAAAAACTAACCCATTTGGTAAGAGAACTGTCTTTTTTACGCGAGCAAGATTCGTGATCATCGCCATTCATGAGAGAGGGACAATGAACGAAAACGAAGCAACAAGGAGGGGGGGTGAGAATGTCAGAGTCTACTCGATAGTATCGACAACTCTTGTTTTGCATGACGCACGCTTAGTTTACAGCTACGTCTCGCTTGACGATCGGTGGCGAACGCGAGTGCTCAAGGAGGAAAACACGAAAACATAATCGCCTGCTTGCAAATCAGCTTACGATTAGCTTGCCAATACCTGCAAGTTCTGTGAATAGCAATCTCTTCCTTACCAACAAGGGCCACGTCATTAAGAGGGGGGAGGCTCCGAGCATCCAACCAAAAATTTACCACTGGCCATCCACTTTTCGACAAGTCGAAGATCGGGTTCTCGAAACCTGCTCTCTAGCAGAAGCTGGTTAGGAAGGTACCGGAATTGTAAGATCGCGATTATACCTTGTGACAGGAGATTCTGCGATCAGGTATTTTGGAAGATCGCCGTAAACGCCGAGGCTCCCAAATCACTCAATCGCTCAATCTCTGCATTCGCCAGATCGATAACTACATTATCCTTTCCGCGCGATATCTTAAATTCTCAGCCGCACAGTATGAACACGGCGAGCTTTAAAAGCTACCACCAAATTTTCCCAAATTACCAAGAAGAGAGAATACCAGGAATTGTTACTCACCGAACTTCAAGGTCAACCGCAATCTCTTCTAACAACGAGCATTTCCGCAATTCACAATTGAAAAGAATCAGATATTGTCGTTAAGTGAATACACATACCCAGTTCCCGAATGATGGGATCGACCCGAGGAATGAGGAGGCTGCGCTGCTGTGGAATGGCGACTTGGCTGGGCAGTAGCCGTTCCTGATGGTGCTTGTTGTGCACCGTTATTCATCGTTGATGGAACACGTGGCGAGGACAACGTTGGCTGAAATGACAAAATTCAAAATATAGAATGGTTACAAACGCATACTGCATGCAGAGCATATCGGTGACGTGTGAAAGAGGGCTTTAGTACAACCACCCCCCCCCCTGGCTCTGATTGCTGGCTTTAGCGAAAAGGATAAGACATGTAATGATTTGCAAGCGCTTGCGACTCCATCGCAAAATGGCACTGGACTTTTCCGGGGGCAGGGCTTTTGGGTAAGGGAGGCGGCCTGCTAAGCGAAATCGCTGCTGTTGTGTTTTCTTACTAGTCGTAGTTTGAATCTTCTTCAAAACAACATCCATTTTCATTCCAATAGCACAACATTACAGTCTTACGAATGAAGATTAGTAAGCCTACAATACTCTCCCTCCCCCCTCCTTCTAAGAGAGGAAACGAGAGATTGGTTCCGAAAATCAGCGCTTTTATAGCTCATTTTCTCTCTTGAAATTTCCCTCCCCCACCCCAATTATTATTTCACCTAAAACGACTACTTTATACAGCCTTTTCCACTACGGAGGACGAGTGGCCGTCCTGCTGCATTTGATATCAAGCCGCTCGTATCAGTCGCTTCCACCAGTTGAGGGAATTTACCCGCTGAGGAATGGATTTGACAGTGTGCCAAAGGCGGCCACGCCCTATCATCCACAGCGAACTATTCTTTGCAGCACTAGAGCTGAGAGAATGGCTTATGTGGGAAATGGGAAAAAGGACTTCACTCAAGAGCTCACGCTAGCTGCCTAGAACATGGGAATTCTAGGAGACTTGGAAAGCACGTTCAACGCTATTTATAGAATGAGTGCACTTTGATTCGTAGCCCCTACAAAAACCCATTGGGAGGGGGGGGGGTACTTTGGGCCCGAAGTTGGTGATTTTGGCTCAACTTCAGACCGAATGACAGGCCACTCACAAAGAGAACTCGGATGATGCTCTCTCTCCAGATTTTAGCAAAGATCGTGGAAGGCTTATGGTGGAACATGGCCCTATTACAATAGGACATAATAGCGTTTCTCCTTTTCCTACCTTAGGTGTTTAGGTTCTAAAGAAGACTTAAGCATGTCGAAAAATCCTTCCTCTGCAACATGCATAAGGTACTGCAGCGAGTAAAACGAACCTTTGTGGAGCTAACTGCAGTTGCTTTCAAAGATTTCTTGTTGCTTGAACTGGACGTCGACTTCGAAGTCTTTTCTGCACTTTTACTTTCCGCCGCAGAAGGCGCATTCACATGCTCCTGAAAGAGCACCTTACGAGTAAATGGCAACATGTGGATACGTTTAACGCACGTAGTTAAAAAGCATGGGAGAGGGGGGGAGGTGCATTTCACGTTGATTGCGAGAGATTACTTTCTGATCCACTGTGTAATCACAATTACAAATATTTTTTAAGAAGGTAATTGCCTGAATAGCGGACACTAACACAGTTGGGGGCAACGCGCAGCATCGCGTTGTATGGTGTTTTGAACTACTGAGACCCCCTCCCCAGAACGTATTCTCCCCTGATTCGTAATTTAATGGCTCCGCCAATTAGGCGGAGTAAAAGATATAGCGCAGATGGAACGGGAAAAATTTCACAGATGGAAATATTCTTCTCACTGAGCGAAAACCCATGATACCCTCCCCCATCGGTCAAAACACGGCCCATTATTGAGACTCCGCCAATGATGAGCGCCTAGTACGGTCAATTATCAAAAAAATTTTCTCGACGGCGATTACGACCGCCCCCACCTGCCCAATTGCGATCCCCCTCCGTGACGTTTTTCACGAAGGGTGCTGTGTCCTGGTCGACTGAGGGGAGGAGGGCGCAGGTCGACGGAAGGGGGGGGGTAGGGTGCCTGCGGCCGCGCCTCTGTATCCCACACGTATTTGGCACATGTCTATGCTTTTTAACAATTCTGTAAATGACAAATAATGACAAATCGAACGGAACACAGAAAAAAATGAGAGAAGCTAAATAAAGAGACCCTGCATATTAGAACGAAAATTATCCCAACTCAAACCGAAACTAAGCGCGCCAAGAAGTCGCCTTCATTTCCTGCCACTATGGAAAATCTACCGTTCTCCACAGAAGATTCAGCTATAAAACTCGAGGAAAATGAGTATCGGCAAACGTGTGTTTTGTTCCACAAATCGCGTGTCGTGATTAGATGGTAGAGTATCCAAAGGAGAGCTCAAGGCCACTAATGAAAAGTTATCTCTAACAAAATCCACAAAAATTTGCAAGAACCAGGAGAAACAAGTAAAAAAAAGCCAACGTAACACGTCTCGGGACCAGTATTCCAGCCACCGGAGCACCTTTTGAGATGCATCCCTCTCGAATAGGGCTCATCATCTGTTCACGAGACACAGGAAGGAGCTGGTTTGAATCCGAAAGTTCGTGAAATTCTCCCGCCCTAGCTGGCGAGGTACTTTATATATGCTACTCCTGATAGTTGACTGGAGATGTACCCTCTACCGCTCGAGAGAAAAATTCTCGAAAGGTTAGAGTGCATTCAAAGTTAGCGTCAGCGTTTGCATATTTTTTTTTGCTTTCAGGCGACAAGGGAAGTATACATAGTTTATCATTGCGGACGGTTGGGCGTGTTCGTGCGGCTGCGTTTGGCGCGGTGCCAAACTCGTTCTCCACGAGTTGTTCAAGCGAGCAAATGACAATACTGTATCATACCTTTCGTATTACTTGTTTTCTACTGCTTTTTGTCGCATGCCCGTTTCAACAAGAAGGCAGAGAACAGCTCAAAGAGGGTGACACACTCATACTGGCTGACACGCCCAACCGTCCGCAGCGAAGTAGAGTGTAGTACAGGTATCGATCTAGCGATTTGCACCTGCTTTAAAGCGTCTAAGAAAGTATGGTATCGATCACCACTAGAAACGCTGACCCCAAAAATGCTTGTGAACGCTCGAAACGCTGGATCGACATTTACTCTCACAAAAACAACAAAAAAAGCACGCAAACGCTACCGGAACGCTTTCTTGGAAAGAGAAGTCAGTAATATGGAAAAACAGTGAGAAGGGGCCGTATCGAATGAATCGGGTGGGCGAGGAGGGCCGTCTTCAGCAAAAATTCTCAACAACATGACCGTTACCCTGCTCAAAACATACACAGCCAGTTTCACCCAATATCGTTCACCGGAACAGCTCCTCTCAGTTTATAAGAACAAACAAACAACTCAATTGCGCTATGCTAGAAAAGAACGAAGCAATATAAGGAAGCGTAGAAGTCAGAAAGGCGAGATGGACAGGGAATTCTGTCGCGCCGTCGCGAGCGACGCATTATGCGGCGTACGCT